CTTGAGATATGAGGGAGGGGGGGGGTCGGCAGAGAAGAAAATTATAGAGAGGGAAATGGAAGGTGGTGGAGAAAGAGCGACGTGCTGGGCGCCTCTAATGATGTCTGAGGGCTATAGAATAGAAGAGCAAAAAGCACAAAGTGTCTGTGGGAGGCGAGAGAGACGGAGAGAGAGAAATGTGGCCGGCCGTGTGTCAGCAAAGGCGAGGAGGATGGATAGAAGGTTCCCCCCCCCCCACTGTGTCCGCAGAGCCACACTGACACTTCTTGTTGTTGTTAAATAAGACCTTATTGTTCGACACTTGACAGGCTGAACGGACACTGAATTATTTTTTTGCAAAACCACACCAAATTAATTCAAACCATAAGAACATTTTGCATTCGAGCCTTGCCAATGAAAAAAATAAAATAAAATAAAAATTCAAATGAAAATAATTACCAGTCCATAACAGGGTTGTTCATACAACCATACAGTAATAACATCACAAAATAGATTTTAAAAAAATTACTATTTTAGTCACGCTGCATCAATTGAATGGTCATTGTGTCATTGTCTCTCGTGTGCCTGCCTTGGCCACCTGGGGGCAGTATAAGACAGACATATATAATGTTCATTGAGATGTGTCAACTCCTCTCAGCTCATCAGTACGGCACTATTATTGTTCGTAGAGGATAAAGAATATATGACTCTGAGAACTTAAATTGCCTACTTGTGCTCAGTCCTTTGCGCAAAGGGTTATAGCACCCCAACGTTGATGCTATTTAGTGTTAGCATCAACCCAATGTGTGATTGCATTTTTGTTTAGATTTAGTTTGAGAGTCAATTTCATGTGGTAGTTGAATTCATGACAAACTTTGAAGTCGAATCCACCTGCATCACAAAGGATCAGTGATGCTCGGGTTCAAAATACATCTTTTGTGACACCAGTCCCGGAACCTTTTTCCTGACACCCCTGATCACGAGAATAGCAAGAACTTGAGCGATTTTTAACTGGATGTTTTAGATAGCTTACTTCAAATGGTCAGATCAATGACTAGTCAAGTTGATGGACTTGGTATTCATCAAAGCTTATCGATTGTAAGCAACAGAGGCTGGTCGTTTTGCTTGGGAGTGACAATAAATCCTCAGCCTGTGTGCACATAGCGAGATGCAGGTGATCATTAACTTGTGTGCTTGTGCATCTTCGGCGCTTTCACATTAGTGCCCCCCCACACACACCTTCTTTGTGATTTAGGAAAGAGGCAAAAGCTTCCCCAAATGTCGAGTTTTGTTTGTGTTTTGTCACTCAGGCCGACTGCTCGTGCTGTCGCAGCGTAATTGGATGTGTAATCCTTTGTTTTGCACCTCTGCTGAGTGCAGCTGATTAAGATGTTGGGGAGACAATAAAGATCGACGATACTAAGACAGAACATTCCGGGGGAAAAAAAGAGGGCCACGGCGTTTCGAGTTTGCCGTTACAACAGTTTACACCCCCGGCCATCCCCACTCCGCCCCGCCACCACCCTAAACCATGATGTCATGACAGATGAGCATGTTTGTTATTGCCTGACTACTGTATTTACAAAGTAAACATGCAGGGCGGTGGGGCTCACGTTATACAACATCCCGCGTGTGATGGGGTGTGGTGCTGAGGCAACCCGTGTTTATTGATCTTGGACATTTGCGCATTTTCCCTGGACAAGCTCTTCATGCTTGGTCTTTTCCAGCTTTTATAAAAGGTGAGACTGTGTTAGGAGAAGGAGCCATGACTCATAAACAAAACGACACCAACGAAAAAGCGAATTGATGGCAAATACTGTTTGTTTAAAACAATGCCATTGGGAATGTCTCTCTCCGAACACGTTTTCTTCAATGCAACGAATTGAGGAGATGTCGAAGGGTGATGCGGGATTTCCATCAGCAGGTGTTGCACCGGACGCAAATAAACGCCTCCCTAAATTTCCCCATCTGGAACAAAAATTGGGTAGAAAACGCTCAAAAATAAAAGCCTCTTACAGTCTGATGAAGATGGTTCACATAAATAAATGTGCTTTCAGTTTTGTAACTTTCTTTACAGCACACCTCTTAGCCACTTCGGCGTTGGTTGCGAAAGAACATTTATTACGAGAACAGAACAAATAAACCCCTCCTGCCTGCCTTTGTCCTATCAGGAGAACAAATGAGTAATAACTGTACTTATTCCAGTTCACAGATGCTATTGCACACACGTGCTGTTAACCAAAACATCAGCACCGCTACACGAAATCATTATTATTATTATTATTTAATGTGTACGTTTTTTTAGCGTGGATCCTTCATCCACAGTTACTGCTCAGAGTGTCATTTTACACCACCCGATAAACCTGATATTGTCCACAGGCGGCTGGCTGTTCACTTTCCTTGTCAACACTGTTCTCTCCACTCGTCTTCTTCCTCTTCTGGCGTCGTATGTGTTGCGACAACTGAAGAAGAAGAAGAAAAACAGTGAATCAATAGCCACAAGGTCAGGCAGGCGGCCGGCGGCTGGCTCGAGCGCGTGCCCCGCTAGTGGGCCGCAGAACTGACTGTGAGGGATTTGTAGCGCTTGTCAGGGCTTAAAGGAGCCCTCCCCTGGACTACTACAGGCTCCAGGTTGTGATGTGTGAATGGAGCCTGGGCAGCAACAGAAGAGGGAGACATCTACTGGATGTGAGGTGACACTGCGGGACAGAAGAACTAGGCCATGGGCGCCAAATCTGAGTGGTGTTAAATTTGGGCCTCGTGGGGTGATTTTCACAGATGGTCAGTGAAAGCAGCATCATTCTATCACATGTAGGCTGGGTGGAAAAAAAAAAATTCCCTCCCTGCCATTTGAACACATTCCCCTAAATGTTTAAGACGTTCTAAATGCAGCGTGGGTAATTCTACTCCGCTAAGCTCGCAGGATTAGTAACACACTCTTATTCTTTCTGCAAGTGCTCCTTTGAAGTCTTACCTTTCTACACAATCAAAAAGGAGGACGGGAGCTATTATGTTTACATGCTCGTAAGGGAGAGGGCGCACATTTGCAACATTTCGGGAAGATCAACTCACCGCACAGGAACATTTTGCTGGCTGAGCATCCACAGTTTGCACACTGCGGGGGTTCCGGAGGGAGCCTTTATCAGTACCGAGCAGCTTTCTAGAAGGCGCACACAATGCATACACATTATAGCCCTGCCCGTCCACCCCCGCCACCACCTGTAGTTTCACCTTTTGTGTGGAGGAATCTGTGGTGAGATAACACATTGGGATGGCGAGGGACAGAGGTCTCACTACCAAAGCAGCACGATGCCTATTAATCCAGATTTAACCCATTTTCCAGAGCTGGTCAGAGCGAATGAGCATGTGTGATTGGGGGTGTGGGGGGGGGGTGCCTTTTTAGCATGCTCAAAGCTGATGTGCCTCATTATGACCCAGAAGATGTATTGACTATGTTCATTATTGTTTGTAATGGTGGAAAATTGTTTTGTTGAGCTACTCCCCATATTTTCTCAAATATTATCCCTCTAGTGTCCCAGTTAGTAGCATCCACTTAAGACAAATAAATGCCTCCCTGAAATATAGTATACACTTCCCTTTTCCATCCTTTTTTTTTTTTTTGGGCGCTTGTGTTCTTTTGGGCCATAGGTGAGCTGGAGCCTTTGTCAGCTGACTTTGGCTGAAAGTTGGAAGATAGCGCCACATGTGGACAAATTACCCCGACGCTCACCTTCACACGTATGGACAATTTTGAGTCTTAAAAGTAACGGACGGTACATGCTTGTTTTTGGAATGACGGAGTCAGCCAAAGTTCCGACACAAGTGCATGGACGAATTTCAAAAGTCGGAATCTAAGAACTGGGACGCACATGCTCACCGTTGCTCCACCGTGCTGCTCGCCTCCAGTCCTAACTCAGTTCTTCGACTGTCATTCACTGTGGAAATTCAAGAATGATTCAGTGCGTCAATTGAAATCCAGTATCGCATCTACAGTTGAACAAACACTGCAGGCCATTATTAGTAGAAAAGTGGAACACAATATTCCCCCCCCCAAAAAAATTGGTGCCGCAGGTTGTGATTTCCAACTCTGCGTCAAGGTGGTTTTTAACACTTCTGTCCATACACATCTCAAGGTTAGTTTTACAGCAACGTGCCCTGAACGTGCCCCTCTTTGTTTTGCAGATCAACAAGTCGAAGTTTCATGGCGTCCCGGTAGAAGCGCCAACATGAACACGCTACCATCCATGGACCGGCACATCCAGCAGACCAATGACAGGCTTCAGTGCATCAAACAGGTTTGACCTCTCCTGACCTCAGCTTTCTTTTGTATCCTGCTCTTAACATTTTCTTCATGTACTTTTGTGCACACGCTCCATCATCATCATCAGAAGGTGCCTCGGATTTGCCTGAATCTTGACTTCGGCATACTGACACACATTTGGTGGGATTGAACGTTTGGTGGGATTGACACATGAACCCGAATCTGGGTTCATGTGTCAGAATTTACTCTTCATTTCCAGCAGGATGCTGTTGTGGTTTGGGTGGTGGTGGTGGTGGGGGGGGGGGTGCACTGGTGTTTGTCACGGTTCCACTGAGCGACAGAGTTTGGTTTGGCTTGCAACAATCTCCTTAATAACAGCGTGACATCATGACAGTGGGAAAGTGTGGCCAATCATTAAATTAAACAACAGAAGAATGACACTGTGCACCTTTTCAAAGAAGCGTTTGATCTTCTTGTTCCATTTCCGATCTCAGCAAGCCAAAGTGTTTAATTTCATCCTCACGCTATAACATACATTTATGTAAATCTGTGTTTGGATTTTTATACACAGCCAGATTCATACCGGAGTCCAACCGGTGAACTTCTTGCGTTCAATCGTTTTTAACCACGTTCACCAGCGTCTCACCGGGTCCATCCATGCATCCGTTAACTGTTTTGTGAAGCGCTTTGTTACAGCTGCTGCTGTTGTGAAAGCGCTATATAAATCAAGATGTATTTTTTTGTATTGTATCGTATCCACTTTTTGTGCCACCTATCATGAACCAAGGTTACCCACCGCCTGTCCCAACTGACTTTGAGCGACAGACGGACTGCACCATGGACAGGTCGCCAGTGTGTACCGTTAAATACCCAGCAACTCATGAATTTGTCACCCGCGGTCATTTGTCATTGTCTGAATTTACTCGCGTCCCTGAGGTGGCAACTGTGTCCTGCCCGGGGGACCGGGGACCAGTTGCAGATCTCTTTGTCATCACCTTGGCCAAGAAAGGTGTATGGAACATGATTTTGGTCGAGATGGCACAGACAGGCAGCCATTCACACTCACTTTCTCACCATCACAGTTTTAATCGAACCCATCCAACCTGCACTGACGTCAGGCGAGTAAGCCCCAATATCTTCCGGAACTCGTCGGCAGCCTCGCTTTTCCCGAATTGTGCTTTCATCTTGTTAAATATTGGAATACATATCAAACTGGCAAGGATTCTAGTCATCTACAGCCACGAATCAATTTCTGTTATGTAAACCGCACTGAACTGGCTATGCACTCAGGTAGGCTGCAGTGAGCTGACTGATCTGTCGCACGTCTCAAAAGGAATCACTCCATCATCTCTTTGTTTGGGGAATTTGTAGCAGCACTGCTGCGCTCCCTTATCCCCCCCCACACACACACGTCCTTGTCCTTACCCAACCCGGAACAGCAACAAGAGCAGCCCCTTCCTCCCTTGCCACTGTCCTTCCCTTCGCACCGGAACTCGTGTCGTCAGGCAGAGTGGCAGTGGCGAGCATGTTGCGGCAAAAGGAGCTGTGAGTTTGCATGCGGGCAGACGGGCCCCTGCTGCGCGAGCTCGGATTCCTCCGGTGCCGGAGGCTGACGCGCCTCCCATCAAGCGGCGGTGATGCCAACTCATATCACTCATATAAAACAGGCTGACTCCATTAGAGCCTTCCCTCGTTCCCGGTCAAAGTGGCGCGGGCTAACCGTCGCGATCACAAAGGATGAGTCACTCAAGGCCTTCCTCCTCGAGGCTCATGATATCTCTGGTCGCTCTCAGAGATTTTTCTCAGTGGGCGGGTGCTCCGGGTGGGCTCTTTTGTCACACGCCAAAAAAAAAAAAAAAAAAAAAAAAAAAAAAAAAAAGCAAGGAGGTCACAACTTCCCTTTCACCATGACCTGTATAATCAGTGTCCCATTAGCAACACAACAAATCAAACACTGCCAGTCTCCGTCGCCTGGCCTCAAACACGCACACACGCTTACCGTGCACGCCGCATGTCCTCCATCACGCTCCCAGCTGGCCGCCGCACACGGTGTCAAACAGATGCTAATTAATATGATAACTAATACCCATTACACAACACGCGGGTCTCCAAAAGCGCTAATTTAATCTCCTCTTATTTAAAAGCGGAGAGGTGAGATGAATTAGAAGGAGAGAGGGGGAAAAAAAAAAAAGACGCATCTTCCTATTTGTTTCACAGCCAACAAGGTGAGCATGTGAGTAGGTGGTATGATTTAAATATCCTATCATACGATAATGAACAAATACGGTAGTAGGTGGGATAAAACCAAAACAAGAGATTGATTCAAAATGGAAAACCTATACAATGTCTGAGGTAAATTAATACAATTAGTGTGGGGTTTAATTTTTGTGATGGGTGGGATTGACACATGAACCCGAATCTGGGTTCATGTGTCAGAATTTACTCTTCATTTCCAGCAGGATGCTGTTGTGGTTTGGGTGGTGGTGGTGGTGGGCACTGGTGTTTGTCACGGTTCCACTGAGCGACAGAGTTTGGTTTGGCTTGCAACAATCTCCTTAATAACAGCGTGACATCATGACAGTGGGAAAGTGTGGCCAATCATTAAATTAAACAACAGAAGAATGACACTTTGCACCTTTTCAAAGAAGCGTTTGATCTTCTTGTTCCATTTCCGATCTCAGCAAGCCAAAGTGTTTAATTTCATCCTCACGCTATAACATACATTTATGTAAATCTGTGTTTGGATTTTTATACACAGCCAGATTCATACCGGAGTCCAACCGGTGAACTTCTTGCATTCAATCGTTTTTAACCACGTTCACCAGCGTCTCACCGGGTCCATCCATGCATCCGTTAACTGTTTTGTGAAGCGCTTTGTTACAGCTGCTGCTGTTGTGAAAGCGCTATATAAATCAAGATGTATTTTTTTGTATTGTATCGTATCCACTTTTTGTGCCACCTATCATGAACCAAGGTTACCCACCGCCTGTCCCAACTGACTTTGAGCGACAGACGGACTGCACCATGGACAGGTCGCCAGTGTGTACCGTTAAATACCCAGCAACTCATGAATTTGTCACCCGCGGTCATTTGTCATTGTCTGAATTTACTCGCGTCCCTGAGGTGGCAACTGTGTCCTGCCCGGGGGACCGGGGACCAGTTGCAGATCTCTTTGTCATCACCTTGGCCAAGAAAGGTGTATGGAACATGATTTTGGTCGAGATGGCACAGACAGGCAGCCATTCACACTCACTTTCTCACCATCACAGTTTTAATCGAACCCATCCAACCTGCACTGACGTCAGGCGAGTAAGCCCCAATATCTTCCGGAACTCGTCGGCAGCCTCGCTTTTCCCAAATTGTGCTTTCATCTTGTTAAATATTGGAATACATATCAAACTGGCAAGGATTCTAGTCATCTACAGCCACGAATCAATTTCTGTTATGTAAACCGCACTGAACTGGCTATGCACTCAGGTAGGCTGCAGTGAGCTGACTGATCTGTCGCACGTCTCAAAAGGAATCACTCCATCATCTCTTTGTTTGGGGAATTTGTAGCAGCACTGCTGCGCTCCCTTATCCCCCCCCACACACACACGTCCTTGTCCTTACCCAACCCGGAACAGCAACAAGAGCAGCCCCTTCCTCCCTTGCCACTGTCCTTCCCTTCGCACCGGAACTCGTGTCGTCAGGCAGAGTGGCAGTGGCGAGCATGTTGCGGCAAAAGGAGCTGTGAGTTTGCATGCGGGCAGACGGGCCCCTGCTGCGCGAGCTCGGATTCCTCCGGTGCCGGAGGCTGACGCGCCTCCCATCAAGCGGCGGTGATGCCAACTCATATCACTCATATAAAACAGGCTGACTCCATTAGAGCCTTCCCTCGTTCCCGGTCAAAGTGGCGCGGGCTAACCGTCGCGATCACAAAGGATGAGTCACTCAAGGCCTTCCTCCTCGAGGCTCATGATATCTCTGGTCGCTCTCAGAGATTTTTCTCAGTGGGCGGGTGCTCCGGGTGGGCTCTTTTGTCACACGCCAAAAAAAAAAAAAAAAAAAAGCCACCCTTTCAGAAGCCTTCACCTCTCGCCGGCCCCGAAGGACAATGCTTCTACCTTCTCCGCAGGAACTCACAAAACAAGGCGCTACGGCTCCACATGAGCATAATAAACGCTTTCAAGTGGGCTCAATCTCGCCGGGGCTCTGTGTCGTTTCAGAGCTATTAACCTCCTGAGCTGCGAAGAAAGGGAGCCCAATTTTTAAAACCACTTATTGTGTCCCGGCAGCTAGAGTAGCCTTCAGACAGTGGGAAGAAAAGACTTGACTGTTTAGAGCCTCGGCGAACAAGCGCGAGAGACTGACAGACACTGAAAGAGATTAGACAACATACACCCGTCGGCCATAGCGTGTGCACACATGGCTGCCAGGACCAAGGTTGTTTGCTTTATGCGCGGGCACAAGCCAGTCAGTCGGATTTCGGCGCGCACGCTCAGTTACATTTTGGAGAAGAAAGACAAGAGCAGGGAGGGAGGATTTTGGTGGGAAAAAGACCGGGCGCAGGCTGTGAGGGGCGAAGCTGTCCGTCGCCAAGAAAGATTAACAAGAAACATTGGCATCATTGTGGCTGAGGTTATGATCTCCTTCCCACAATGCAGCGGAGCGCCGAGTAGGCGTACATCGGACGCAGTCAAGGTCCTCACGGGGTCGTGCAAAAACACAAGACCTCGAATCAAAAGGGGTCCGCGGTGCAAGGCTGCGAGCATTCTTTGGTTCCGACTGTTTTTACAATTCCTGTGAGAAAGCAGGGAAATAACACTCGCACATCGTTTCCTTTTGTTTCTGACGGGTTGTTTTTTTTTTTGTGTGTTCACGCAGCACTTACAGAACCCGGCCAACTTCCACTCGGCGGCCACAGAGCTGCTCGACTGGTGCGGAGATCCCCGGGCCTTCCAGCGACCTTTTGAACAGAGCCTCATGGGATGCCTGACGGTAAGCAAACATCAAATGCGGTTTCGCGCTGGAATTCGTAGCGCCTTTAAGATGGCGTCAACAAGATATTTGCTTTAATGAATGCTTGCCATGAAATGTCCTCTGTGCTTTTGTCTCGTGAGGCTTCCAGTTGAAATTGATCGCAAGCTACGGTTTGATAAAACTGCGTTTGTCTTCGCCTCAAAATAAATAGGCTACACATGATTTTGCCTGGAGCTTTAATCTTAGCGGTACAAAGGTTGTGGGGGGGGGTGAACGCCTATCGCACAAGGCTTTCTATCTATGAGACAGTCAACGCCGCTAACGATGAGGTTTTAACATTTGCGACCCACTGTGGCTGCACCACACACACAATGCTAGCAAGCGTGTCGCGGGGACCATTCAACCCGCAGCTCTCCATTCACCAACCATCACTCACCGACGTGGGCGGAGGGCCAGAGCGCCGTCTGCCCATTCTCCAGCAGGTGTGTGATCAAATAAAACACACAAACACCCGCGCGCGCGTCGAAATCAAAAGGCTTGGCCGGCCGCGATCAGTGAGAAAGACTGGAGGAGCATTGTTCCTATCACAAGTGGTAGCGTGAGCAAACAGATAAAGGCTCATTAATGTGTAAATCACAATAAAAGCCTCTTACAGTCTGATAAAGAGCCATACAATGCAGCCAAGCACTCAGCATGGCGCCCCCCGTCTATCTGCTAAATTGCTTCATTAGACTCGGAGAGCAAACAGCTCCTTATCGAGAGAATTACAGCGGGCGGTCAATGCATTCTTCCTGGGATTTTAGTCATCTCTGCGACGTCATCGTCTCGCTTGCAAGTGTCCAAGCTTGGAATATTCATACCGCCGTGTGGGATATTTGGCCGATGGGATTTGCTGCAGCTAAATGAAACGGCACGCATGCACGGAGACGCCTGTTGCCTCTGGCATGTGGAGGAGGTCATTCCCTGGTGGAGCTTCGGCAACGGAACCAATAAAGGATGACATGACAGCTGTTACAGATACACTGCACCTTCCTTTGTCCCTCGACAGTGTGTGTGTGTGTGTGTGTGTGTGTGTGTGTGTGTGTGTGTGTGTGTGTGTGTGTGTGGTTGGGTGTTTTTTTGTTTGTTTTTTCAACGGAGTCATTGCTTGGAGACATCTTTTTCATTTCTGCCACCTGGTTTGTTTTCGAATGTACAGTGGCACCTCCGGGTTTTCATGATTAATCCGTTCCAGAGAGTCTTATGAAATCCAAAGCATTTCGATCGGAAATCCCGTATTTTCCGCACTATAAGGCGACCCTAGAAGCATTCAATTTTCTCAAAAGCCTGCAGTGCGCCTTATAATCCGATGCGCCCTATACATGGGTCAATATTCTGATTTCTTGGATGTAGTATTTTAAATGTTCAGTAAAGCGGTTTGTTATAGCTGCATTGGTCGTGAAAGCTTAATATAAATAAAGCTGTATTGCATTGTATTGTATTCCCTTTAGCGTAGCTCCATCTAGTGGATGCATAACGCCACCACATCACTAATGTAGCTTCTATTCTATGTGCCTTATAATGCGTTGTGCCCTATATATGAAAACAGTTAAAATAGGCCATTCAATGAATGTGCGTCTTATACTCCCAATCGCCTTATGCCGCGGAAAATACGGTAATGTGAATCCAAATAATCCTTGAACAGAGATGCACCAATGTTAAAACAGAAGTCAAGTCAAAATTTTTCTTTGAAATAATTTGTTGTATGTGCCTCCACCAGTCCAAACACAGTATTCCGATATGTCAGATTCTAATGATTGCATTTGTGGCATAAAAATGAAGCGGATTCATCCACCCATTTTCATTCAGCAGTTATCAGTATACTGTCGACTGGAATTGACGACTTACCTGTTTTCTCGGTTTGGTCACGTGACATTCGCACTGCGAGCCCAAAGCACAGCGGTATATTAACGGTTTCACCACGCTTCATTTGGCATGGTGGCTTGTTTAGCGGTTGCACAGAAACTGTTCTGTGCTTGTTTATTGAGCGTGACTGTTAAATAAGCCACCTTGTGACCCAAGAAAGTGTGAGGGGAAGCGGTTATTATACCGCTGTGGTTTTAAAGGTCTGAATTTTGACAGGATGGGTTTGTTACACAAATTGCCTGTGTGTTGCCGAGCATACCAGGAAGGTCATTGCTTTGAGTTGAAAAGCTTGTTGTGGAACACATTTTGCTTTGAACCCTTTATAGATTGCTTACAAAATGCTTTGAATGAACATGCATCAAGTTAGGGAAATGAATGGTCATGGTCAAGTCACACGTTTTTTTTTTTTATTAATTTTTTATTATGTGTCAGAGAAACTTTGCAAACCTTGCACATGATCCCACGCATATTAGTCACAAGACTATCCATCTTTCTAGACTTGTCCTCATTTGGGTCACTGGTGAGCCGGCGCTCACCCATTGATTTGGGGCAAGATGCGGAGTACAGCCTGGACTGGTCACCAGCCAATCGCAGGGCACATAAAGACAAAATCAGAAAAACATTCACACTCATATTCACGGCTGTGACACTTCAGTCTTCAATGAACCTCCTGCAAAATCCACAAAGGAGGACCGGAGGCTGGGATTTGAAGCCCAACCCTCAAGGAATGTGAGACAGATGAACAACCAGTCTGTCACCAGGAAAAAGAAATTTTAGTAGTAACTGTCATTTCACGGTTCAGACGCGCTCTTGTTCATATGGGACAGGAAAGAGTGAACAGTTGAGCCCTTTTGAACTGTGTTCCTCATCAAAACTGCAGCAACAAAGTGCAAAGACAACGTTCTCTGATATGATCTGGCAAACCCGCTAAGCACTGAGGCACCATGCTGCCAAGAGTAAAAGTCAAATAAGAACACGTGTAACATAATAAAATATTACACATTTGTGTCTCCCATATGTATCAGCGCTCACGACAAAAAGAGTTCCTGTTCGTGCCTTTAATGATTGAACATGTACCGCGCCTCTCGCTCAAAGTAAGCTGAGATAGGCTCCGAATCACCTGCCATCCTAAATGATGACCTCTTGAGAAAATGATGGATGTGTCGATGTAGCCCCTTTTAATGCTGTCAGTGCTTAATGACGTACACTTCAAAATAATCCTAATTTTTGTATTACAACAGAATGCCACCCTGGCTGACCTCGTAATGAGTAGCTTGGAGGTCAGATGGAAGCAGGGCAAAGTTGTCATGTGGTAGATAAAAGCAAAGGCGTTTCCAGTTTAAAAGATTTACCTCTTTATTACCGTCACTCAACGGCACTTACATTCAGGCCTGTCATTCCGATGCTTCATGTCAAAATGCACCGCCTCCTTTTTTTTTTTTTTTTTTTGAAGTTGGGAAGGACAAAGCGTTCTGAACCACGGATGACATGTTTAAAGTAATAAGACTTTTTTTTTTTTTAATTCTCTGTCTATAAAGATGAAGAAGGTTTCACTGTCAGAATTGAGAGCTGGTGAGCAACTCTGCTTTACTTTACTTGCTTCACAGACAATAAGGAACTAAAAAAGAAACAAAAATGTCTTTTTGTTGCTTTACTGTAGGTGGTGAGTCGCGTGGCAGCCCAGCAAGGCTTTGACCTGGACCTTGGCTACCGGTTGCTGGCTGTGTGTGCAGGCAACAGGGACAAATTCACCCCCAAATCTGCCGGTAAGACCCCTAACCCACCCTCATAAATGGACCAAAACACAAAAAGAATGTTGTCTGAAATGGCACTACATATTAGAGTCCTTGAAATTCATTGACACTAGTGCACCACAGGACTAAAGTAATCCCAGTCAGCCTTTTTCCATTTATTTAACTGCTTGAATGGACAGCCATTTACTGTTTCAATTTTCCTTTGCACTTACTGTATATTGGTTAATATGTGTATATACCGTATTTTCCGCACTATAAGGAGCGCCTAAAAGCATTCAACTTTCTCAAACGCCCACATTGTGTTTATAATCCGATGCCCCTTATATATATATATATATATATATATATATATATATATACATATATATATAGATCAAAATTCTGATTTCTTGGCGGTAGAATTTTAAATGTTCTGTGAAGTGCAGCGGTTATGAAAGCTCGATAGAAATAAAGCTGTATTGTATTGTATTCCCTTTAGTGCAGCTCCATCTAGTGGATGCATAATGCAACCGCAGCCACTATTGTAGCTTCTGTTCTATGCGCCTTATGATGTGGTGTACCCTGTTTATGAAAACAGTTTTAAAATAGGCCGTTCATTGAAGGTGCGCCTTATATTCCGAAGTGCCTTATAGTGTGGAAAATACAGTGTACATATTGATAATTGTTTTAATTGTTTACCCGAACCACACCCCTGAGGCAGTATCTCCTTCAAGCTCGGGTCCTCTACTATATATATATATATATATATATATATAGGTGTGTGTGTAGGTAAGTAGGTAGATAGATCGATGTAGTATTAAGATGCTAATTATGACCGACTAAATTATCATGGGAAAAGTTATCTCAGTTCGTAATGATGTTTTGTACAAAAATGTTGTGAAATGTTACTGGGCAAGTCATTGTTTTCCCATATAATTAGATATCCGATGTTCAATTAGTGTGAACACGTTTACACCAACTGGCTCCTTCATATTTGCCAAAAGTCGTTTTTCAGCTGCAGCGGTAAGCTACTTAAGTGGGCGGCCAGACGTCAGTGCACCATATCGATCGTCTTGTTTCTCTCAGTCTGGGATAATGTAATTGTTGTGCAGGCATGGCTCGGGCCGGCTGTCTGACGGCCAGAGACTCGTCCTCGGGTCTCATGCGATCTAATAGAAGAGAGCGCAACGTTTTCAGGAAGGATGGCCCGTTAATGCATGGCGGGTAAATGGGAAGCTGGAGTCTAATTACCCTGGGTGGGGATGATGCAGGCTCACATGTGAGTCAAGGCACATCTTACTCACTGAATATCTTCGCTCCATTACAAGCATGTCTGAAGGAGTGGACTGGGCAACGCACAGTGTAACTACACTGTACAAAAAAAAAAAAACTCACAAACCTTTTGACTTTTATTGCCCTGTGTGTCCTATGATCACATTTTTTTACGACTTGGGTGTAAACGTGCAGGCTCGGCACAAATCGCGGGCTAGCCTGCGTGGCGACACGGGAATGCAAATGTGACATCGGAGAGGGGGCGAAGCAGTCTGGTGCTGCTCTGAGTGCGGCCCCTCAGGGAAAGGGAGAAAGACAGCGAGACTCTTAAGAGAATCAATCACACTGTCGCTTTCTTGCAGAGCATCACTTTAACAAGGAAGTTGATAACACAATTAATCTAGTATGCACATTGATGTGGATGTAAAAACCTATCAAGGCTCCAAAGCACAGTTGTGCCTTGAGTCGAGTTTAATGCTTTACAGTACAAAGCTCAAAGACCTCATTTATTCTAAAATCAAATCCATTTTCCCCATTGAAATGAATTCAAGTGCCATTAATCCGTTCCAGGCCCCCTAAAATGCCACCTTTTTTTAATGTTTCATCTTTTTAAAATAACAAAAAAGCACCATTTTACAAATTACAACTAAACATAATACGATTTAGCAGAGAGTCGCACCACACTGTAGTCTTCATGTGTGCCCTTGTGAATTGCATTAGGAGCTCTGACTCCAGCTCAAGTTGAACGTTTATCCACCTGGTTTGTTCATTGTGAGAGTCATTCTCCCTACTCCTTTCCAATGGTTTCATTTTTTTGTGTGTGTGCGTGCGTATGCGGTTGGGTCAAACAGAGGTTTATCACAATCGCTATGTTACACCAACGCTGTGATGAAGTCATAATTACTGTAATTATTTGTCTGAAAAATATTCTTAGGCCACACATATAAAATCTTTTATCCATTTTCAGTCTACTCGGTCTTTTCCTCACCCTATTCTTTTGATTCTATTATTTATGAATGAAGAGCAGTCAAGCTTTCCAATAGCTTTTTTGGTCCATATGAAAAGAAAACGAGTTGTACATTGTAGCACTTGAACAAAAACACTCAGGCAGAGTGGCTGTAAAATGTCGATTAATATGTCCAGGAGGGCCTCAGTTTCTGACAGCGTTTTGTTCCTCGATATAACGAGATATCACGAGTGAGATCACCCAAACTTCTAAAAGGGCACCAGAATCTTCAAAAAGGAAGGAAAGATTTCTGTTTTTTGAAGAAAAGATTTCTGTTTTCATTGCAGTAATCCACAACGCAATTCAGTCTTTCATTTACCGCTACACAAATGCACAAAACAAAGAAGAAAATCATAGCAGTGCGTAAAGAGCATTCAGATAACATCAGAGCGTGTGGGCTAGGATTAGCATTGGCAGCTGACACCGCCATCAACAATTTATGACATTTTGTGCTTGAATGTGAATTATAATATAGTCTAACCTTGCCACTTCAACTGCACAATTACACAGAATCTTCCATCTACTCTCAAATTGAAATGATCAGAAAATCTTTTTTTTTTGGGGGCTCACCTTATTTATTGGATCTCATTTTAAGTGATCCACGATTTCCAAATATTGTTATTGTAGCCGGTGCGTTCAAGAGCCATGAGAGAATGGCAGAGATTATTCTTCTAGCGCAATAACTGCTCTTCCCCATCTCCCACCAGCACGAATACACAAATATAAAGTCCACAAATACACCCAGGTACCACCAGAGTGAAGAGACTCTACACTGCCGATGGTCTGGTGGTCTGTGGGATTAGCTCATTGTTCTAATCCATAATCCCATGAACAGATTTTCAGTATCTGCCGTTAGGTCAGATTGCATTAGAGCTATTAACAAGTAGCTTTAATGTTAGCGCATGTGCAGCTATCATCTATTTTTTTTTTTTTCAATTTTAAATGTATTTTTTTTGATGCCGCTGCACTGAAAATGGAAAAAAAAAAAGTTGATCATCTTCTCAAAAACTGAAATCGACGATGCGGTCACTGCTCCGCTATGGAGCAAACATCCGCGACCCCGACAGATTTATCTGAGAAGTTCAGGCAACAAATCAGATTAGGTTCATAAGGGTCTGTTCGTAGCAACCCTCCGAAGGGCACCGGTCATGATAAAGCTAATTAGCCAGAGCGTGTTCTATCCAATTGTTCCAGTTACATCACTTAATTTTTTAAGTGATGTAAAAAAAATCTCATGACAGCTCACTGGTTCATAATTACCGGTTTGTAGTATTGGTGGACCAGACAGGATGTCACTCCTGTTGCCACTTGCCCCAGTGGTAAGTATGAATACAAGTACTCACATGTGAGTACTCACCTATACCGAGTGCCAGTGCACGATAACGCCAATACATCTTTAGGTCAGTCGAATATGGGAAAAAACTTTTTTTTTAATTCATTGCAGTGTGTTGTACTTAAAATATCTTGTGTTCTTCTAAAGCCTTGGTAAAAAGCATTCGCTCAACGGACTGCTATTACAGTTTTTTTTTTTTTTGGGAGGGAGGAAGGGGGTGATCTGCATTTATTTCAGCGTTTTTGTAGTTTTGAACATGAATTGACACGCTGAGGATTAACGGCAGCTGTTCTTGGAATGATAGCAACGTTTAATGTTTAAGTCCGAAGCAGGCTGCGGCTTGTCCGTTGCTCAAAGTCGAAATGATCCTCTGAGAAGTTCACAAGACGTACCCGCTGATCGCATCTCACAGAGGCCGCCTAGTCGTTCTTTTGGGCTGCTTGGTGCGCCCTTAGCCCGCGCCAGCGAGGTAAACAAGCGCTCAAGCTGTGTCAACAGTGACTGAAAACTTCCAGGGTGCGGCTGTGGAAAACGCTTTCACACACACACACACAACAAAAGTGGTCCACCCGCGCCATCGCTGCCATAATTCAGCAGGAAGTGGGCGGAAGATGATGAACAGATCCCCCCTTTACTTGTCTGTCTTAGGTAGCATGCTGTACAACAGGAGTCAGAAACTGATTTTTTTTTCCATAAAAATACCAAAACGCACAGATCATTTTTAAACATGAATGAACAGTGTCACATGCACAAAAATGCATTTCGATTGCATTATTTAGAACCTGATAAGTAAAGTCAAATTGAATGTCAGAATATCTTCAGTTAAATGAGGCTTTATCACTAAATCCTCATCAGCACGGCGAAGCAACTGCATGTTTAATTTTCTTCCTACGTTCAAATCCCATCTCAAAACCCACCTATTCAAAATCGCATACTCAATTTAAATTCATCTCTTCTTTTATTATTTATAATTTTATCTGTGGTTGTATTGTTTTGTTCTTGAATGGAAAGTGTCCCTGATTGTTTTGAAAGGCGCTTATAAATAAAACGTATTATTATTATTATTATTATTATTATTCAAGGGACTCACACCAGCCTTTACTTTATGTTCATTTTCATTTTTAATTCTCATTCTCAATGGGGGAAAAAAATTGTCATATTTATGCACAAACTAGATAGTAGAACCTGCTGAATGTTTCCACACTTTGCCTTTTAAAATAATGATACATCCAGCAGGATGTATGAAAATATTTCAAATATAATTTTGCCTTTGCGTAGTCAGTTTTTAACTTTACATCCATTTTCTGATCCGCTTATTCTCACATTTGTCGCGGGGGTTACCGCAGCCTATCCCAGCCATCTTCGGGGGGGGGGGGGGACACCCTGAACTGGTAAAATCTAATAAGAACTCACTGCGACTTT